GGGTTTAGGGTTTAGGGTGAATGGCCCCATGTGCAGTTGCTCAGTTGGTTTTCTGGGAGTCCCACCCAAAACCCTAAACCCTAAGCCCTAAACCCTAAAAGACCCTAGACCCTAAACCTAAGAGCAGAGTCTTGCTGAGCTGGGCCAGGAACAATTAGTTGATGGCTGCTACTTGCGTCGTAAAGAGGCGGTTTCTCGGCCTGCCCTAGTGCCTATGAACTGGAAGTTGCCAAGCGTTAGATCCAAGGGTAGCAATTCATTAGAGTCTTTGGAAGGGACGCTTGAGTAGGCTCCTGAAGAATGAATCGTTGTACGATTCTCCAAGGCGGTTAGGAATCACTTTCAGGATCAATCCTCGTTTCTAGGGGTGTACTTTTGGCAGAACAAGCACTTCAGAGGATTTGCTTGCTCACCTGGAAGCAGACTGACGGGTATCCAGCGCATGGAATTCGATTTCAGGCAGCGCAGCTCCAGTGACTGCTGTTGGTCCACAGCCTGAGGTCGGCACTGGTGGCAGTAGAAGAGGTAGAGGTAGAGCTAGAGGAGAAGTAGAAATATTAAGCGTTGTCGTCGTCGTTGTTGTCTGTGTATTTGTAGTAGTCGTCGTCGTCGCCGGCGTCGTCGTCGTCGTAGTCGTCGTCGTAGTCGTCGTCATAGTCGTAGTCGTAGTCGTAGGCGTAGTAGAAGTAGTAGCAGAAGTAGTAGCAGTACTCGTAGTAGTTGATGATGATGGTGATGACAGTGTCCTTCTCCCTTTCTTCCTGCTCTTCCTTATCCAAGGCAGTGTCTGATAGTGTTGGTGCTGGCGGCGACTGTCTGGCCTAGTACAAAAAAACAGTGTAGCGACAGAGCAGTGGTGGTGGCAGTCCTTATTGTGGCAGGTAACTCAACAACAACCAGCTGAATCAGGATGTGGTGCAGCATGCAAAGAGCTCGCATGCATAATTTGTGTGAAGGACCCGGCGTTCTCTGCAGCCTGAGATACATTGGCAGGTTTGCTCCACCTAAGAGGCTCATTAGCACCTTGGGGCCTGAATTTTTCCTATTCGTGTGTACCCACAGAGCGCCGATGAGAGCGAGAAGCAAATATTGTAGTAGGGCGTCTTCTGGTTTCTGTTCAAAAGCTTCTCTGAACGAGAAATGTCCAGATTTCTGGTACGCCGCTCACCTCCTTTTCCCTCCCCCCTCCTCCCTCCCTCTACTCAGCACCATAGCTATGAATACCTGTACAGTCCATAATCAACATCAACGTCAACATCATGGCCATCATCATGATTTCAGACACCAGAGTTCAAGGAGCTGAAGGAAGTAGGCCCGGAGGAAGCTGGTCCAGCCACCATTTGAGCCATAGTCTAAACTCCTTAAAGGTGGGTTATGTAGAGGATATTATATGGTAGTACTAGGAGTTTAGACCATAGCTCATTTAGATTACCAAAGTGGCAAGCCTGGTGGTCCCCCCAATGATTCTTGATGAGTCTTGTCAGAAAATCCGAAGGCATGGGTGCCTTTCTTCGTTCAAACTTTCTGCCTTGATGTGGGCAAGGGGGGTCTGCATTTGCAGGGCTTTACGGAGTCGCAAAGGTTCACGCTCAAATATGACGAGCCGGCTGAGGCACTGGATTTTGGAATCTGGAGCCCGTGCCAGGACAAGCGAACTCACATCACGTTGTAGATTCAAGAAATATCTGGAGTGCACTCTTTGAGAGACGACGGGACCTTAGATTTGATAGTTACTAAGTGTACATTGGTGTACATCAAGGGGACGGAAGGAACTCAGTTCGCGCCGAAACATGTTGCGCTCGCTTGGCAAAGTCCTTCGACGCGATCAAGACTTTTCTGGCTGAAACCCGGCATTCATAAAGACTGCCGCTGCCAGAAGATTTATGATATCGCGCGGCTTGAAAGCTCCTTGCTGATTGCCAACTCCGGAGCCACTGGGTGCTGTACTAGAGCTGCAGAGTGCAGAACTACCCTAGGACCCCAAGCGGTTGTTGGTGGGGAAATTTTGGAATTGAAAAGGAAGTGGAAACTGTTATACTCCAAGCCCTTGACTTCTAAATGCTGTAATAATCCTTGCCTGTGGAGATCAAACGTTGTCCCCCCTCACCCCCCAACGTACGTACTCCGACCCGTAATTGATATTAGGGGGGTGTACTTGTCGTACGGCCCGAACATTTGGTGGGCCTGTAAGAAGATCCTATTGAAATTTAACTAGAATCAAATGAAAATCGATTAAATCATCCTTTGGAGAACGGACATACACAGAGCCTTCCGAGCTCCTAACTACAATGTACATGCATAGTTTTTTCCCTTGATGGAAACACCAACTGCCGCCCTGACGGCAAATTCCTGGCGGGGCCTTGAGGTCTTAGCAACCCTCCCAATTTTTTTTCTTTTTTTTCGGTGGAGGAGGCTCCTGAAGTCCCTGGAGGGCCTGAAGGCTTGTGGAGGCTAGGGAGGCTGCTGGACTGCCTGCATCTGGCCCATGACTCAGAGTCACAAGTGAGAGGATGTAGCCCTAAACCCTGCCAGGAAGAAAATGGGTGTAGCCTGTAGCCTGTGATGTCTCACAGCGGGTGGGGAATTCGAAGACGGCCTAGTTTCGATGAGTTTCGATGGATTCCTGGACGATGTCCGGTTCGCTGGGCGCAGGACGTGCTGCCACCCACAGATCCTGGGAAGCGAGTGGTACTCTAGGCACACAGATATTCAGCCCTTCGCGGACAGACACCCTAGGCCCTAAACCCTGAACCCTCCATGGCTCGGTGTGCACTGTAGTGATGCGACAAGCCACGCTGCGATTCTTAGGAGCGACCCTCGGTTTAAGGGGATTTGCGTTTGAGGGTTGGGGCTTGATTAGGGTTGAGGGTTTGGGGTTTAGGGTTTGGGGTTTAGGGTTTAGGCTTCAGGGTTTACGTAGGCTTCAAAACAGGGGCGTTTTGGTTCATAGCGAGGTATATAGGTCACTGATAAACAGCCCAGCATCTGATGCCACGTGTAGGTATTTCTTATCAACTTCCTGAATGGCCGCCGCGCTTAACTCCTGACAGCGCGCGTTTGGACTCACACATTTTCTTCAGACCGTGGGATATGGGCATTTCCAAAGATAGGGGCGCCCATTTGGATCCCAACGAATAAGTATCCTTCTACAGGGATTTCCGAAAGGACCCTTGGTTTTCGCAATCTCCGAATGAGGGTCTCTCCTAAAACTGAGGCTGCTCCGCCTTCGCGCAATTTGCGCTCAGGTCACGGCTTGCAGACTTAATTACAGCGGCTGCTGAAGCCTCCTAAGAACCAGGGTTGGTGCAAATTATGTGGGTTTTTTGAAAGATATGCATAAGCGGCTGCAGTGGTTGCACTGCCTTGGGTGGCTTCCCGTGGCCGAGAATCACTTTGATCAGGTTGGTGCTACCTATGATGCGGCCTCTATT